TTAATTTCTGTTCAATAAAATCATACTACTACTTAGTCCCCGACTGCATTGTTTACGCGCGGTCAGATCATGTACGTATCCCTATAGTAATATATGCCACAGAGTAGAGACATACAGAGACGTAACTAGTGTACCCACTTTTTTTGTGCGCATGCTCGGCAAGTTACTAGATGCATGCATCTGATTGGATGACGACCTGATGACGACTCACTTTAAACTTGCTGAGCACGCGCAGTTGATCATTTTTCGCCTGATCGCCTGAAAAAAAGTGGGTACATGATAACGTAATCTTCCGCAGTGTTTACAACGGTCAGTTACGTCTCTGTATGTATTATCTACTCTGTGTATATGTTAAGGTTGGCAGCTAAATTCCTATATACGCACGTAGCCCTGGAGAAATAGCACAAAAACTTTAAAAACACGCAATAAAACACAAACTAAACAACATTAAAGTAAGCTCAGATACTTTCACTAAACTGCCAGTCAATTTTTTGTCGAAAACAACATCGAAAATAACGAAAAATAAACACAGTTTTTTATCAATTTTGTTGAATTTTCGCTGTGACTATGCGGGATGCAAGTTACCTGATACTGGTATTTTTTTTGAATGACGACTTCGAGATTTCATTGGCTTTGAACATTTACGTCAATCACAGGAAAATCCATTTCAGGGGGGGTTGTTGAGTGTTTTTCATACACGGAGCTATAAAAAGCAAGGAGAAATATTTTGAAAACAGGATTGCCGGGCGAAGAAAGACAAGAAAATTACATCTGCGATAATATTAAAAATTTGCAATTATAGAAAGCCAGAACTTCCAACATTATACTTGCTTCAGTCAGTATAAAGATATCATTTTGATGCCGTTTCAGCCGTGGCAAACTTATAGTTTCCCTTCGAAACGCAGCGAAAACAAAACAAAACCTTGTTGCTTCAAATAATTTTAATAATTCTTGACAAGAAAATGACAACAGACAATGTAGATCAACACAAATTAACAATATGGTGAGTAAAATTATATTGATATCATTATTTATAGTCCGTCGTATTGTTGTTGTTTCACATTTTGCAAACTAAGAATAAAATAATTCTTGTTGTCGAATTATACTTTTTACAGTAATTTATGACATGCAAACCGAGAAAGAAACAGAAAACACCAAGCAAAAAGCATTTAATACAGTTTTTGAAACGTAAAAATATAATTTTACTCACCATATTGTTATTAATTTGTTCCTTATTTGAAGCAACAAGGTTTTGTTTTGTTTTCGCTGCATTTCGAAGGGAAACTATAAGTTTGCCACGGCAGAAACGGCATCAAAATTATATCTTTATACTGACTGAAGCAAGTATAATGTTGGAAGTTCTGGCTTTCTATAATTGCAAACTTTTAATATCATCGCAGATGTAATTTTCTTGTCTTTCTTCGCCCGGCAATCCTGTTTTCAAAATATTTCTCCTTGCTTTTTATAGCTCCGTGTATGAAAAACACTCAACAGCCCCCCCTGAAATGGATTTTCCTGTGATTGACGTAAATATTCAAAGCCAATGAAATCTCGCAGTCGTCCTTCAAAAAAAATACCAGTATCAGGTAACTTGCATCCCGCATAGTCACAGCGAAAATTCAACAAAATTGATAAAAAACTGTGCTTATTTTTCGTTATTTTCGATGTTGTTTTCGACAAAAAATTGACTGGCAGTTTAGTGAAAGTATCTGAGCTTACTTTAATGTTGTTTAGTTTGTGTTTTATTGCGTGTTTTTAAAGTTTTTGTGCTATTTCTCCAGGGCTACGTGCGTATATAGGAATTTAGCTGCCAACCTTAGCATATATTACTATAGGGATACGTACATGATCTGACCGCGCGTAAACAATGCAGTCGGGGACTAAGTAGTAGTATGATTTTATTGAACAGAAATGAATTAATACCACTGATTGTTGGGCTACCTATGATTAGACGCTGCGACATACTTGTCACGCATCACTGCAAAAAGTAGCTAGAAACACATGTGTGGAGCTTTTTTATAAGAATGCTAACGATTACTATACAGCGCAGTTGCGTTAGTAGTTGAAACAAAAATTATATAAATTGGCGCTAACAGATCCAGTTAAGATCTTGGAGACTGAAAGTATTTTACTACTTTCGTTCCTTCATGACATAAAATTGAATTCTCCAGAAAAATATTAAACAGTTGAATGTCGAATTCATAACGACAACTGGTCCCGATCATATTTCAAGTAACATGACTTAAGTCTATCGCGCGTAGAGGTTTGCCATGCCAAACGCGAACAGAACTTATAACTTCTGGAATAGAACACATGAAAAACAAGCAACGGCCAAAGAACATGTGGAGATATTTTTGAAATTGAGCTTGCTTCTTTTCTTTTTTTATTACTTGCTATAAGAATATTAGCATATGCTTCAGTTTGAAAATATGAAAATGTCGAGATGACTGACTTGTATAATCATAAAAATTGGTGACCGCGGTTTGATGGAAAAATGGATATTTTAAGGCAAAAAATCGTTCGACATTCCGAGCGTTAATAGTGCAAGCAGCCAAGCATGAACCAACCTACCAAAATCCAACATAGGTATGTCAATGTGCTTGTAACTTCTTGATAATATATTTGCGTGGACCACAATTAAATTGTTGACAAAATTAGGGCAGGAAGATAGATGGCGGCAACGGCCAGATCACAACAAGATAAAACAAAAATAATAAAGTAACATCAATTATTTCGAAGTTGTGACGACCTCCATATAGACTGCTTATAACCACAGCATTCAGAAATATTGCTGCAACCATGAAGGAAACATTCAGAAGACACAAAATGGCGCGTTAAAAAAAGTGTTTGGATAAAAGTTACGTCTTCATTGTCTCTGTAGATATTTCCTGTTTTTCGTTTTAAAACGTGTTCAGTCGCACATAGCATACAATAATAATTGCGATAACATCTACAATACACCTGTACATCTGTTTATATAAACTGTAATTTTGTCATATTGAAGTACGTCTCTAAGGCCCTTAAAACATAGCATTGGAACTATATATGAGGTATGATATCCGCCAAAATTCATATATTGAATTATGCCATTGGAAAATGCATTTATGAACTTCAGTTATGTTACATGCATTATGGTATTGAATATTATGATATTCGAATTTCATTCGGCGTGAAACAGCATTATTGAAATTTTTCCGGCTTGAAACAGTCATTATTGAAATTTCATTCTTTGTGAAACAGTCATTTTTGAAGCAGTCATTCGGCATGGCACTCAGAAACCAAAATTCGACTTCCGGTTTGGCATGGCATTCAGAACCCAAAATTTGACTTCCGGTTTAGGGGGAAAAGCACGCGGGAAATTGTAATTCCAACATGGTCAACAGAGAAATATAAGTTAATTGTGTAAACGTTCTCTTGTTAAAAGTATTTATTTGTTACAAGCTTTTGACTGTTGTAAATTAGAAGCTTAATTAGATTCAGTAAAAATATATAGTAAAAATTTATATATGCATGCCAATGTTATGACCAAAAATATGTATGAAGTAAACTGGAACATTTGAATAACAGGAAATACGAACATTATTAAACAAAAACAGGAACTTTAAACATTTTAGTAAATAAAACGGAATGTAGGTACGTAAGGGAAGTTTGTGGGTTGACTTGTGGTCAACCAAGGGAGGAAGATGTGAATAATGTGCGTCACACATTGAACTTCCTCTGGGAAAAAAGTTCCCACAGTATGAAAAGTCAGAGCGTATAAATACGAGTGAGATTGTCAAAAAAAGGAATTGATGTGAATTGAGTTGAGTTGCGAATGAGTTGTGAATGTGTTGAAATGAATTGTGAAAGAGTGTTTGTATATCGATAGCAGTGATCAGTCATATGTAACGAATGATAATAGAATAAAATTTGTGAAAACCGAAAGCATACAGTCGCCATTATATTCGAGAATCAGCAAAGGAATAAATCTCACGAGGAGAATTTATAACATTGACTGCCAATCTGCAGTCTTCGATGGGTAGATTAATAATGCGCTATACATAGTGCTATATAATAGCGGTTTACAATTACATTTACTGACACAAAAGACAATTACTGACAGTTTCCCTGCTACGTATGAGATTCGTGACTAATTATATTAACACTAACTCTATTGAGCAAAAAGCGGTATAAATAATTGTTCTGGCAAATGTTTTGAGTTGTTATCGGCGTCTTTCGTACGTGCAGTGTACCAAGACTCTAATGTCGATCTATGTCGATAGTTGCCCTTGTCAATTATTTTTCCGTTTTTAATTTAAAATCAATTCTTTGGTCGAATTCAGATTATCAATCACAAAATAGCAGTGTCAAGACCGATAATAATAACTAAATAATGCCCAAATAAATAGTTCTGCCGCTGGCGAACAAGTGTCGTCCAACACAATCACATTGCATATAAAAGCAACAAACAAGGCCGAAATTTACCAAACGATGTACCAATCCTTCTCATGGGAGATTCGATAATCAAAAAGATTGATCCAAGGAAAATATCTCGAAGGAAGACGGCCAAAATCTGTTTTCCGGGGAAAAGAGCAGAACAGATCCTAGCCGAGGTGAAATCGATTCCCGTTGCAAATCATTCGCATGTTAATTATTAATATACACGCAAGGACTAATAATCTTCCAACAGACTGTGTACGTGAATGTGCTAAACATGTCGAAGGATTAGCCAAATGTGTTAAAGAAAGATTCCCAGGCGCAAAAATTGAATTGTCTGCAATGACACCAAGAAGGGAGATTGCTCTACACAAAAAAATTATTGATGTTAAGAAAGGGTTACAAGAGCTATGTGCTAAACATGGCCTAGACTTTATAGATAATAAGAATTTAAATGAGACATGCTTAAACGGAAGTAATTTTCACCTAAACCCTAAGGGTTCTGCTTATTTAGCGACAAATTTCATCAGGTTTATAAAGGGTGATAACATTTGATCATCCATTCCGAGCCGAAGAGATGGGAATTTTCGGATCGCAGCCTCGCATCAATTGCATCTATCGTGGAAGATCTTCTACGAGTTATAACAATGCAAGGAAGGAAGACAGGAGGAAGGACGTATTAACTAAAAGCAGGTATGACCTTAAGGCAACAAATCAAGGTAAAAACGATGCATTATATTGATTTTTTTTTTTTTGAAACAGTATAAAAGGACTTAAAATTGCTAATGAAAATCGCCTTCTGAAGCACATAGATGAGCTTCGAGTAATTATGGCTGATAAACGCATACAAATTCTAGCTATTAATGAAACTAAACTTGATCATTCAATATCTGATCAAGAAATAAGTATTTGCGGGTATAATATAATTAGGAAAGAACGTACTAGGAACGGTGGCGGTGTGTTAATGTACGTACACGAATCCATAACATCCACGGAACGCAATGACCTATGTCCAAACTAACTCGAAATAATTTGCGCTGATATTAAAAAGCCACATAATAAGTAATTTCTTGTGAGGTCATCGTACAGACCGCCAAACTTTGATATTAATATTTTTAATGATTATGAGTCTTTTCTTCAAAATTGTGAAACAAACGATTGTGAGCTTTATGTTATGGGAGATTTTAACTGTGATGCTACTAAATCTTCTCCCGACTATATACTCTTAGGCTACAATTTCTCTCGACACTTTATCAGCTTGATCAAATAATTAGTGAACCCACAAGAGTTACAATAATAGTTTAATATAATCATAAATAGGAAAAAGAAGACTCTGAAAATGCCATTTCCAACGATCTAGAGACTTAAAATTTTCAAAATTCCCTGCTCGGCGTCAACCATGGTTAAGCGCCTCGTGGGAGTCGGACCCACTAAGTTTAACAAGCTTCCTACCCCCTGAGTGACCCAGTTGTGGTATTTACATAAACATACCATGCAAGTACACTTAACTGATCAGATTCGGTCTATCTAAGCACAATGTAACGCTGTATGTCCAAAAATCTGTTTCACAAAATGCTCACATTTCAGTCCTAGGGTTGGAAAAAAAAACATTTTCAGGTGGAGAATACCCCAGACCCCCCTCCCCCGCCCTCCCCCGTCAACTAGTACATTTATACGATCCACACCATGCTTTTTGTTACCAACAACCATCTGTCATCTCTCCATGCCCTCCCCCAGACAAGTTCTTAAAAAAAGCCCTGTGTTCAAATCATTTCGTTGTATGAAGACGGGGCAAGGGTTAGGGTTATGGTAGGACAAATGTTGCATTGCAAAGTAATAATACATAATATATATTTTAACCATATGTGGTTGAATCATATTCACCAGGGTAAAACATCATGAGCTAGATTAAGCTAGTCCTAATATCTAACTTTACCTGCAACGCACACTTGTTTCATTGCTGTTAATTTTTCAATCCACACAGGGGGGGGGGGGCAGAAAAGTTTCTACTTTTATGAGGGGGGCACAAAAATTTGCCTTCAGTGCGGAGGAGGTCAAAAAAGTTTTCAAACCTTATTTTCCCCATTTACCACCCCCCTCGCCATAACTAATGACCACTCCCTTACATATTACTACATTACAACACGAATGCATGAGTGAACATTCGATTACTTTGATACGCATATTTTAATTCAAGCAGTCTCAGCTACTGTACATGTTTTTTGTTTTTTTAATTCGGGCTTTGCCCGACTCAGAACGCGTCATTCGGATGCGCAATCGAATTTCGCGATTCTTCTATAGCATGATCTATTCTGTAAGAAAGTTTATTGTCCCAAAGTAGGATTCAAAAATAAAGATTATCCGTAACTTTAAAAATTTTAATATTAATGATTTTCTCAGTGATGTGTCACAAATATCATGGGAAACAGCTACAATACATGACAACCCCAATTAATGTTTGTTGGAAGATTTGGAAATCTTTATTTCTTGAGGTGCTGATAGACACGCACCCCTTAAATTAGACATGAGCGGATCAGGGGAAATTCAATACCTTTAATCACTTCTAATATCAAAGAATCGATGAGGTTGAGAGATTACCACAAAAAATAAAGCCGTGAAATTTAATTCTCACTTTCACTGGGATAAATATAGAGAGACGCCTAATAAATTGAATTCAATATGCGTACGACTAAGAGGAATTATTGTAATAAAATTAAATATGATTTAGTCCAATCTAATGACATTAGACGGAGCTGGTCTTTAATAAATAATCTTTTGGGAAGAAAAAAGAAAACACACTCTAGTATCAGCTAGACAGCTGATAATTGATGACGTCGTCTTCTCTGACGAAAGATTGATAGCGGAATCCTTTAATGATTTCTTCGTCATTATTGGAACTAAACTTAATTCCTTCTGAAATTCCTTGATTCCTTCCTTCTCAGACCTTGATAAATAATTTTGACTTTTGAGTAGAGGACAGAAAGTTAGTTAATAGGTTCTTTAACATTTTTCGGTTTTCTCTTTTCATTCGCGAGATATGGAGCTCTAAACAACGATTTTCGTGAAAATGTGAGTACTAGTCACGAAATTGGAACTCTAGAAGCAGTTGATAGTGAAATTTTTAGGCGATTATGATGCATGCCTTTATGGAATTATGCCGATGAACCGCTAGCGAGCGAAGAATGCCACGCGCGATATCTAAAAAATATGCGGAACACAAGGAACAAAACGAGATGCTACAGCGATGATAAGACGGCCTTGAAGATATTAAATCATGGTGAGCATAAACATATATTTATTTTAACATTTTAACGTAAATAAGTATCTGTGGCTGATATACTTTGGATACAGCATCAGTCACATCAAAGAGTTGAACTCTTTAACGACACGACCCAATTACCGCAATGCTTGTAAGCAATACGCTTTGCCGATTTAATATCTTCGGTTCATTGAATGCTATGAGGACAAAAATACCACCATTCGATTCAGTGTGACAAAATCTCCTCACTCGTAGCAATAGTTTTAGTCATTGGCAACATTATAGCGATTTATGAGCTTTAAAAGTAAAGTGAGATCGAGTACGATCAAATTACGCATTTTACCAACAAATTATAAAAACATAAACATACCTTACGCCGAATATAACTTCGGCCCCTTGAAACGTATGCTCATTGCGATATTCTTGATGAATTAATCATGTAAAATGCCATGTATAACGTTATTTCCAAGCTTCTATCCTTAAAGGGTGACTTTTAGTGCCGAATTTTACATTTTTGCTCCGAATTTGCGATAATCCCAACCGGAAATACGACGAAAACTCGTCAAAACAATTCCACGCTTGTATCGCGTGACTCTGGAAATGCCAGAAATGGATTCTACAGGTCAAAGTGCACCCATACGCGTGAGTTTGACGTCATCCCGGCAAAAGGGAGCTCCTTATTGGCCAAGTATTACGTAATACAAGCGCGTGCGAGTAAAACCCGATACTTTAAAAATTCAAAATAAATATTTCTACTCGTCGTATTCATACGAAACTTTCTACACTAAAGCGCTTGAATACAAAGAGTATTTTGCACATATAGCCTTTCAGAAAATGACAAAAAGTTTAGAAGATATTCAACTTTTTCTCTTTTTATCGTTTGAATGTTTGGCGAAGCGGTGAGTATAACTATATGATTGTTTCGGTTTGTATAATGTTCGACAACACTTCACCCCCCGTTCGAAAGGTTATTTTGTGAGGATTACAATGGTGGGTTTTGTTTTAAAGGGGGGTAAATACTCGCCGCGATATTTACATTTGAAAAATTGAATTGTAATGTAATGCGAAACTACTTGTCGACAAGGAGTTTTAAAATCACACTTCCCTCACCTTCGTGAGAAAATATAATACAAGGCACGCGATCAAAGAAGATAATTATAAACAAACTGGTTCAGAACAACTTACGTATGTACTCTTGTTTCAAGCTACAATGTATATCTGTAATCACGTTTACTTAGTACGAACGATTGCATTTTCTCACGAGTTTTCTTAGAGCCCATCAGTTCTCCAAACAAATAGGTCTGAATCCTGAGTGTAGAGTGATACAGCATGGCGGCTGTGGCACATCTTCTAAAACCAAGTTACCGCCCTTCAGAACTTCCCTACAAGCAGTGCTGTAAAAGTTATTCATTTTCTGGAACTAGTTACAGTTATAGTTACATTCCCAAAAAAGGAACTAGTTTAGTTCCCGTTACAAAATTACTTCAGTATTTTTGTAACTAGTTACAAGTTACTTCAAGTAGGAAAACCCCCAGTTTTTTTCAACTTAATGATTAGTGGTCAGCAGATTGACGTTAATTATTTCTAAACGTTATGTAACCTTACCACTAATGGATTTCTCAGCTGTGTTAAGCACTGAAGCATACGTTGTCGTAGAAAACCGTGAGGAGAATTTCGAGAACTGAGAGGTGAATTGTAAGATTTAACCGCAAGAATGTAACGAAAAAAGTAACGTAAACGTTGGCTATAAAAGTAACGCGTTATCGCTTCATTTTAGGCCAAAATGTAGCTCGTTACAGTTACAGTTACCTTATTTTTAAAGCCGGTAACTAGTTACCGTTACAGTTACTCAAAAAGTAACGATTACTTGTAATTTCGTTACTTGTAACGAAGTTACTTACAGCACTGCCTACAAGATTCCATCTCCTTACATCACCAAGCTTCGTGGGTATTTTGTGACCGCATTTACACTTGTGAAATGCGATACAGGTGAAGTTTGATGTGACTGATGCCGCATCCAAAATATATCAGTCAGAGTTACTTATTTTATGCTAAAACGTTAAAATAAATCTATGTTTATGCTCACCATGACTTAATATCTTCAAGGCCGTCTAATCATCGCTGTAGCATCTCGTTTTGTTGATTTTTTCCTTGTGTTCCGCATATTTTTAGATATCGCGCGTAGCATTCTTTGCTCGCTGGCGGTTCATCGGCATAAAGGTATGCATCATAATCGCCTAACATTTCGCTATCAACTGCTTCTAGAGTTCCAATTTCGTGACTGGTATCATTTTATTCATCCTCTATAATATACCCAGGAATATAATGTATTCTGAGTCACATTGAGAACCACGAGTGCTGGAAAACATACAAAATATAAACAAATGTATGATGCGCGTCGTGATTAAGTTCCTTAAGCTACGTCACACCACGCTCGTCCCAGACTCTTGTTGATACTCGACATTTTCACGAAAATCGCTGTTTAGATCTAGAGCCTCATATCTCGCGAATGAAAAGAGAAAACAAAAAAATGTTAAAGAACCCGTTAACTAACTTTTTGTCCTCTACTTAAAAATAAAAAGAAAAAGAAAAAAATGGAACATAAGCACTTTAAAAGTCAACATTCACATTTACTCAAATTTGTACAGCTGAGGTTATCTCTGTGATTCGAAATCTTAAAACATCAAAGTCAAAGATATACATATTAATTTTCCCTTCTCCCATAATTCTTCCAATGAAAATTTGGCCACCCTGTCAATGCCATCTGCTTCATTTCCATTAACGCCTACAAATGAGAAAAGTAAGTTTTTCCAGGCCATTAATATTTACATTCTGACCTAGAAATACATGCATGGCAAAATCCTTTGCCTTGCTATACGGCTGAAATCGCACAGGTTGTTCCAAGTTGATATCCGACATGCGTGAACAATGTTGTGCGGCCAACTATGAACAAAGTGTCAACCATGTTGTTCCAAGTTGTTACAATTGAACAATGCTGTAATAACAACATGTTGACAATACTGTTCAAAGTTGGCCGCACAACATTGTCCAGGCCTGTTGATATCAACCTGGAACAAGTTGTCGATTTGCTCAATTTATTTAAGGTGCAAATTTTTATATTAGGCAACATAACTGTTGTATCTTTGTTGCTTAATTAATTAAAACTTTCTGATCTAAACAACAACGTCGCAAGTAGTAGCAACACCAAAATTGCAATGCATATTTGTTTTAATATTGGTTTCTGTGTTGCCTACAAATATCTTACATGCAACATGTTAAATTAGTTTTTAACTAATTTTCATAATTTGGAAAGTGCAAATATTGGTGTTGCCACTTTAATGAAGTGGCTCTAGAATGCAGTTGGTTAGTCATTTAGATCAGACTGTCTAAAAGGAAAAAAAAAATATATATTTTTATGCAATGGTCACAGAATACTATACAGAACTCCATCTCCATTTTATTTGCGTAAGCGCTATTCGTTATGATTCGTCACTTAGCAAGTACCGTAAACAGAAGCAGTCACCCCCCTGGATGTGTGCCATTTTAAATATATCCAGGGGATGACTGCTTCTGTTTACGATACTTGCTGAGTGACGAATCATGCCGAATAGCGCTTACGCAAAGAACAATGCAGATGGACATCTGTATAGTATTGTGTTCAATAATGGTGCTGCAATCTCAATTGTTATTGGCTAAAAACCTATACAGCTAGATAATCCTCAATGTCTTATGGCCACATACAACATTGAAATTTGTCTGTAGGTGATGTAATTTTTAATGTGTCAACTGACTAGTTTTCCTGCCAGTATAATGTCATGGCAGAGTATATAATAAAACAATTACTGAATTGAATTCAGCTTTTGCATGATATCAACAATTATCCAGAACTCTAGAGCTGTCAATGTTATCCGCTACAGGTGTCGCAGATAACATTGACCTCAGTCTAGGTAATTATTCATATCATGCTCAGCCTCTTGTCAACCCATTAAGCGCCAGCTAGTGCTCTCCCCTTGATCGGGCAGTAAAATCGTCTGGCTTAAAGTAGGGTGCATGATCAGGACGCAATGCGACTCAACGGGTTAAATATATTTACTTTACACAATGTAAAAATTCACAACTTAGATAAAAGTAAACACGGTAATGTCACAAAGTGAGATGGGGAGCATGTTGAGTGACATTGGAATAACTTTAACACACTGAGTGACAGCACTCTCCCCCTGACGAGTAAAGCTGTCTGGTGTTAGACAGAAAAAAATAATCTGGCGTTTTAGACAGAGTAAAATAATAGAGTATGCCGCATTGCTACTTAACTGGTTAACAGTGTGCATTGGCAAATATTCTGCTTACTTAACCAATTGAGTGGCAGCACTCTCCCCCTGACGAGTAAAATAATAGAGTAGGCCACATCAGGGCGCTTTGCCAATTATTAAAATGCATTCACATCGGATATACTGTAACCGGATACAGTGCAACTTTTAAATATGTGCTTACCAATTTGATGACAACACATATTTAAAACTGACATTATATAAGTCCAAAAAAGGTTGGTACAATTAAATTACTGTTCAGCCAGTGCACGGAAGACTAGATCGGCAGAACGTGGTGCTTCATCTCCCAGAATGTTCCAGTAAAATATAAGGTGTCTATAGTAACTGATGTATATGCAAGAAAAAATGCTATTTGATGTATCATTTGCCTGATAATCGGCTGAATACACGCACTTCACACTATGTAACAACGTTCGGTTTAAAAACACAATATTTTGATCGTGTATACAAACTATACGGATCGAATTTTGCAGCCATCGAACGGCGTACCAAACCTTTTGATTAGCGATACGTTGCGTTTACAGAATGTGATGTTTTTTGCTGTTATAGTTTTCTTTCTGCTTCTCACTCGATTCAATGAACTTTTTAAAATGTTAAATGTTTTCGTTGATGCCATGATGGATAATTCGAACTTCGAATCGCATATATTCGCCTCTATTTGTAACCATATATTCCACATTTAAGACGTAAAATATGCATAGAGATTAGAGTCAAAACAGATGATATATTGCCACCGCTGATTGGCTAGAACTAGAAGCAAGAAAGTCCACTAACTAACGCATCTACTGATTGACTAAAGGTCACTAACTTACACGCACTGTAGCAAAGTAGCCTATCTGCATTCGCAGATAAAAAATGGTTTATATTCTTTATATTGCCCTTGCATTTAATATTTTTTAGGAACTTTTTTACGCTAACTTTATTAACATTCTTGCAGAATTATAATAACAAATTTTAGAAAGACAAACATACAGGAAAATAGGCAAAAGAACTCAATTGAGATAAATGCGAATGGGATCGACACTGCATGGATCCATAGATATCTTATATACACTAGAAAGCGCATCTCTTTTAGTAAAATTGAAGCCAAGAATATTCCAGCGGTTACCACCATTTGAATAGATGGCGGCCATGTTGGAGTTTCCCACTCGCTAATAAACGCTTAAAAAACAACAATAACTGTCATCATTTGAATAGTGTGAAATTGTATTTGGAATAGGTTTAACTTAATGTTTAAGTTAACTTTCCTATTTAAGAATTAGAAAACATACGAGTCTTCTCATTTCATGGGAATATCCTGCATCGGCAACCACGGTTTCAATTTTTGAATTGCAGAATAATTAGATGCACTATCTAGTGTATATATATATAAGATATCTGCTGTATGCATGGATCTCATGCTGGCCACTTCTCGAAAATAATTACAATTATATAAGTTTATATCTTGGTCCTATGGCTGGACAATCGTATACGAGCGACCACGTACACTCCGCAGATTTAGAACAAACATTTTGATATTTATATTCTTATGCATCAGTTTGAGTGCATGAACTTTTTAACACCTCATTCGTGAGGGCCAGGGACGTGATGGTGTCTTCTAAAGAACAGCGAATTAGCAACGTCTGATGGAGCATAGGCCCAGTGACAGATGGATCAATTAAGGTTGGGGGGGGGGGTTACTAATCAAATCTGGAGTAGTGAAAATTATACCATTACCTGCATGACATTAAAAGTTTTATAACACGTTTGGCTGCATGACATATAGATGATTTGATAAATTAAACAATTTATATGATTTATTGATACAATAAATGGCAATCTGACTAAAATAAACGAGAATATATAATAATTAATTATATAATTCAATTCACTTTCACACAGGATTTCTCAAGAGGTTTACTTTATTTTTAACAACGTTTCGGACAGTTTTACCAAAGAGTAAAGATATAAAGAGAGTTCACTCGGTGAAAAATGCAGTGTTTAGGACGTCACACGGATTTGCGAAGCTGACGCCATTTACACGCCATCAAAAGCAAATTAAATATTAAAAAAAAAAATTAATATGCCGCAGCCAGTACCGTTCCTGCGCTTTCAGTCAAAACTATAGGGAAAACGTAGTTCGTAGTTCAACAATAGCAGTAAGTGATCTTTTCTATTCACATAAGAAGTGCGGTTGAGCTTTTGAAAAACTTTTATTTGATTTTGAAAGTTGAAGCCCACAGATTGTGATATCCTATATATTTCAGTGGCAAGACTCTCTGCTTGGCAAGTCGAGTTTGTACTTAATGGGTTAGTATCCTGACAATCAAAATACACAATTTAAATTAGATCAACACACGTATCGAACTCTCAAAGGCTGAGACATTTTGGTCTAGACTTTTTTTTTTGCTAGTTTTTTCTCGTTGAAAAAGTGAATTATGCTCTTACCTGAACATTATACGATACGAAATATACTGGAATGTCAATTCTGAACAACTTCTTAGCTTTTCTGCCGCAAAAACGACACAACTGGAGTATAGAACATCGTGTAGAACAACTTTTTGATCTCGTTTTGACTTGTCAACACAAGTTTCGAACTTCACTCCTTCGAGTATAATTTTTCCTTTTCGCAGCGTTCAAGTAGTGTTTGCAGCCCCATTTGTTGTTAAAAATGTCCAGTCTAACCCATTTTCTTGCAATTAAAACGAAACAGCAAGTCACCTGGATAGTTTCGTTAAAATCGTTGTTTTTATGACAAAAATTCGGATTTCCCCATCTATTTCCTTATAAAAAAATTTCACGGTACTGGCTGGGAAGTTACGCATGCGCAGTATGGCCGATCGTGCGTGTGACTTGTTTTGACCTGAGTGAACTCTCTGTATATACTTCCTCTGTGGTTTTACCACAGAATAGATACCGGACCAGAAGGGACACTCCTATGTGTTTTGGCTGAAAGAAAACGTCCGAAATTTTTTTTCGTGCTATGACGCCATCCTGGAGTGCACACGGAACTTTGTACCTATGTTTTTCTATGAAAAACTTCCGTGTGCACTCCAGGATGGCGTCATATGATGGCGTATTTTCACGTCAGCACTCGTAAAATTTCAGACAAAATATCGTCTGAGTGACACTTCTGGTCATGTATCTATTCTGTGGTTTTACTGTCCGTCTTCAGGTTATTACAACTTTGTAAATGTTGACGTGTACAAACTAATTTAACGTTCGTTCTACGCAAGCTCAATTTCAAAATAAAATGCATGCGCACGCGCGTGTCTGTTCTCATTATCGAAATATTTGTCTAAAATAGGCCTCCATACTGTCAATGACTCAAAACTGTTTAATACTTTCATACCACGATGTATTTCCCAGAGAGACTCTATTCCTTCTTTCACCTTTCTTTGTCTCAAACCACTTTCTTTTGCCACAACACTTGTATTTTCCCAATCAACTCCACTTAAACAATTCACATTGTGTCGCGCTAATCCCCCGTCTTCCTTTCCCATTCGTTCATTCGCCATTGTCAGGTTCCCGTTTTTGGTATCTTCATTCGTTAGTCTCACTTTGCTTTGATGGAGGCCCATTTTAGAAAGATATTTCGATAATGAGAACAGACACGCACGTGCGCGTGCATTTTATTTTGAAATCAAGCTTGCGTAGAACGAACGTTAAATTAGCTTGTACACGTCAACATTTACAAAGTTGTAATAACCTAAAGACGGACAGTAAAACCAAAGAGTAGAGATCATACAGAGACGTAACTAGTGTACCCACTTTTTTTGTGCGCATGCTCGGCAAGTTACTAGATGCATGCATCTGATTGGATGACGACCTGATGACGACTAACTTTAAACTTGCTGAGCACGCGCAGTTGATCATTTTTCGGCCGGTCGCCTGAAAAAAAGTGGGTACGTGATAACGTAATCTTCCGCAGTGTTTACAACGGTCAATTACGTCTCTGTATGTCTCTACTCTGTGGTAAAACTGTCCGAAACGTTGTTAAAAACAAAGTAAACCTCTTGAAAAAACCTGTTTGAAAGTGAATTGAATTATATAATTAATGATGACCAGAGGTGAAAGTTTTAGAAGAATAATATATAATAAGGTTTTACTATTTGACGAGCCTTCACAAACTTGCAAGATGATTAAAAATATAAATTATAATGTTTTAGTCTTGATTTGCGAAATTACAATCTGTAATTTTTATCTTTTCTAATTTCTTAATTTTAGGAATCATAATGCCGGGGGTCCCCAACAAGTCCTCGTCGTCTCATCCCTAGCTAGCACACCCCTGGTGAGAGCTTTAAAACGTTCAGTAATTAAACCCCTGAGTTGACTTTTCTCAAACGAGGGCAAAATAGATTATGACACTAATAACAGCATTTCCCTGCAAGAGTTGGTGGTGATGAGTAATAATAGAAATTTACTTGTTTTGAGACTTTTTCATAGCCGAGTTAAGTGAACGTGACTTAGCGTGCAATTCGGCACTAAGGAAGCCCATTACCTAATGTTTGCGGACGGGATTAATTAATCGAAATACTTATATTTTCTTGATCCTGGACCTAACATACAAAGTGCTTTTCCGGGCGTAAGCTTGCGAAGAGGGCACTAATTCTGCTTGCTTATTTATACCCGGGGATAGGAAACATTGACGATGTTTACATTAGTCATCAATAATCACAGGCGCGTGGCTATGATTCATGGGTATCATGGGTAGACCTCCTCGCAGACCTCAAAATTATGCATGCTGTTTACAAAGAATAGCTAAGCAAGATTTCAATTTTCAAAAACAAATATTCAAAAAATCGTTTCATACAATGAGCTAACAAGCAATTTCTATTTGAAGAAATTATTCGATTTACTATGCGATATCGTGAAATACAGGGCAAGTCTATTTGCTTTCAATCTTTAATTGCCCTATTTATTTTAATTAAGGAAGGAACTTAAAATGTATAAAAGGTGAAAATAAGTTTCAACCGAATTGAAATTACCTAATAAGTTGAACTAATTTTGTTTTACCAAGTAAAAAGCAGTTTATCAGAAAAAGCAGTTTAGCTGAATGAATAACATTTCAAAACTTTTTAAGGAGCAGTTCGGATTAAATTTTACGTAGCTATATTATATTTAAAACATGAATAGCAGTGTTTTATCAGATATAAAGATACGAGGCGTAGCCGAAAATTTTTTGGTCTAATATGAAACACACACTGCGAATGTTTTAAATTGCTTCAAAAACGATCGATCTAGTATCTGTCCATTAGCGAAGTAATTTTCAAAAATAACTTTGAGCATGGCACTTGCACAATATGATATCCAACAATTTGTTGGAACATCCAGTTAAGAATTTGAAATGGCAGTTTGGAAGTATTTTACTATTTTCCTTCCTTCGCGACGCAATACTGAATTGAACGTCGAGTTCATGGAGACAAATGTACCAGACCATATTTTAAATAACAGCACTTGTCTATCGCAAAAAGGCCGGTTCGATATCAAAAGCGAAGTATACTTTATAAAGACTGACAATTGACAATTTGCGTAATAGACTTAATTTTGATCTAAACAAGTCTAGACAAAAATTTCATCACAGCTTGAAAGAGCATCACAAAATTAGTAATATTACAAAGCTTCGTTGCGAAATGTTGGAAAATGCGGATAATATAGCCTTGCGAAGTTTGCAATTTTCAGTCATTTTAGATTACAAACGTGAAATTGACAGCCCCAAAGGGTATTAGGCTGTCAATTTCCCGTTTGTAATCTAAAATGACTGAAAATTGCAAACGTCGCACTAGGCTATATTATCCGCATTTTACAACATTTCGCAACGAAACTTTGGAATATTACTAATTTTGTGATGCTCTTTGAAGCTGGGCATGATGAAATTTTTGTCTAGATCAAAATTTAGTATATTACGCAAGTGGTCAGTCAATTGTGGAAAGGAGCAGACGGGAAAACAGCAACCATCAAGGAAGATATGGAAATGCTCTTGAAATTTGACTTGCATCTTATTCTTTGTTGACGATTGGAGGTTGCAGTACTATAGTTGAAACAACGCTTTCATCTTTGCCTCGATAAACATTGGCGATGATAAACATATATGCCAATGGCGACAAGCTGACTATTGCGGTCATCTTTATGCCTGCATGAATGTGTACAAATCTTGTTTTGGTAAATGTTTCATGACTTTCCTTTCAAAGGTTGTTCTGTTCAACAATAAATATGGAAATACACGCCAAAACCTCTATATACACATACACTGTCATTTATTTAATTTAAACAGCTGAAATTTTGTTATATTGAAGTGCACCCTACTGTATATGTCTCATTAAACACAGCAATACAGCAGTTTTCATGATACGTCGTACTTAACAACGTACGTACGCTGACACTATATACTCCGGAACGAAGCACGCGATGATGCCAAGTTTTATGTCTGTGCCCATGCACTAAGCCGTTAGAGTTTTGGTCGGATTCGCAAAACGAGCGCAAATAGTGAAGAACTAAAAATAATAAAAATAGTGCAGATAGGCTGAAGTTAGAAGGTTGAAAAAATTAAAAATTGATAAAGTGGAAGCCACCAAGCGCTTTTTTTATCTCGCTCCATTTAGAAACCACGCTGAAATGCTACACTGACGGACTGGCATTTTGCTCTGATAGCCGTGGTATAAAAATGGTGGCTTTGCCTTGTCTGAACAACACCCTAAGTAATTTACTCATGAATAAAATTATTTTAGAAAATTTATATTCAAATGTTTGAAGGCCCGAAACAATGCGTTTAGAACGTGGGTCAGTAAAAACATAAAAAGCTGAAACTGCATCCATATAATTGTACCTTTAAAAGTTGTTTAATTAAATATTATACACTGCCAAACAAGACTTTCATTTTAGTCTAATCTACTCAGTGTGCATACAATTCTGTGGCAATGAGGCAATATTTACAAAGCACGAAGAGACACTGATAAATTAGAAGCAAGCGAGTCTTCACATTGCCGTGAATTTCTATCACAACTTGCTCTGAATATAAGAATATCAAGCTCATCATATTTACTGCACTATGCTGACTAACTATATGTCATATATCTTCACATAATGTTAGTAGGCTATATCTCATGTATGTTCTGTTATATCAGAAACTATAATAATATATATACATAGGAACTTGTTCTGCGACCGGCAGAACGATTATATTTTTCGTTTATATTTAATATTAACCCATTAAGTTAGTAACTTTGCGCCCTAATGCGTCCTCTATTACTTCATCTAACGCCAGACGATTTTCGCCTTTAAGGGGAGAGTGCTGGCCATCAATGTGTTAATTATAACCAGACTAGAGCGCAACTTAATTGCATTGCGCCTACTTATATTCACAGTTTTTGGCGGATATTCTGTTGTGATCCCCGCGACAATCTAAAATGTTATTTATTTCGTTACTGTTAATTCGTTAAGTGATATTAAAGCTGTGACAAAGCTTTTAAAATATCATATTTACTCTGTCTAACGCCGGATTATAATATTCCATCTGAGCCAGACGATTTTACTCGTCGAGAGATTAGAGAGATGGCGATCAGGGGGTTAACCAACATTCGCGCTGTGAAAAGTTTTATTCGTGACGGAGTAATTTTCCAAAGTGCTAGGTTCAAGCCAAGTTGCAGTGGGGTTATCGGACGGTGTAACATACTTGCCGCACCATCGCCGCCAAAAGTAGAAACAGATGTTTGGGAATTTTTTATAATTTTGCAAATGAATACTATACAGTGCCGTTGCATTAGTAATGGCGTTAACAGAGCCAGTTAAGTTCTTGCCGAATGAAACCATTTCACTACCTTCATTCCTTTACGGCGCAAAATTGAATTTCTCCGGAAAAATATTAAACAGTTAAATGTCGAGTTCAGGGCGACAAGTGTGCAGACCAAAAGATCAATACCATGAATTGTCTTTCGCACAATGAAGCGCATGTTCGATGCAAAACGCCAAACAGAATTATATAACTTTTGAAATAGAACTTAACACACGAAAAAAAGGAACGGCGAAAGAACATGTAGAAATATTTTTGAAATTAAACTTTCTTCTTCTCCTTTCTTTATCTCTTGTTTTAGTTGGAGTAACCCTTTCATCCTTGAGTTTTGACTTGGCAATGATGAACATGTTGTAGTTTAAGAAAATGAACGCGAAGAGGAGAAAGAACAAGAAAAACACATTTGTGAAAACTTTAGCAAATGCTTCAGTCCAAAGTATATAAATGTTGAGAAACCGACTTGTGTAATCATAAAAATGCCACAAAAAATGTAAGTCTTCTTTTAGTCACTTCGGTAAACCAAATTGCTGCAACCCAAGTTGCACTGGGGTTATTAGACTCCGCAACATACTTGTCACGCATCACTGAGAAACGTAGAAACAGAAATTATACAATGCCGTTGCGTTAATAGCCGCAGCAAAAATTGTCGGCTATATAATTATATAACATATATTCGCGTTAATATAGAGCCAGTTAAGATCTTGCAAACTGAAAGCATTTTACTGCCTTCATTCCTTCACGGCGCAAAATTGAATTTTTCCAAAAAAATATTAAGCAGTTGAATGTGGAGTTCATAGCGACAAGTGTGGCCGACCATATGTTAAATAACATGACTTGTGTATCGCACGAAGACGTTTTCGATGCCAAACGCGAAACAGAATATATAACTTCGGGAATAGAACACACGAAAAAACAAGCAACCGCCAAAGAACATGTGGATATATTTTTGAAATTGCACTTGCTTCTTTTCCTTTTTTTATCACTTTGTATATTTGGGGTAATCCATTTATCTTTGCGTTTCGACTTGGCGATAATGAACATGTTGTAGTTTAAGAAAACGAGCATAAACAGGAGAAATAAATCGAACACGTTTGTGACAACATGATCAAATGTTTCAGACTGAAAATATAAAAATGTCGAGAGACCGACTTGTATCATCATCAAAAATGCCAGAAAAAATGCAAGTCTCTTTTTGGTGACTGAGATTTGATGGAAAAATGGATATTTTAAGGCAAAGAATCGTTCGACATTCAGCGTTAACAGCGCAAACATAGACCAACCAACCAAAAGCCAACATAGGTACATCAGTATGCTTTTAATTTCTTCATAATTGATTTGTATGGACCACAAAACTGTTGATAAAATTAGGGCAGGATGGTAGATGGCGACAACAGCCAGATCACAACAAGATAAAACAAAAATAGTAAAGTAGCATAGTTTCTTTCGAAGTTGTGACGACCTCCATAGACTGACTATTACCACAGAATTCAGAAATATTCCTGCAACCATGAAGGAAGCATTCAGAAGACACAAAAATAGCGCGTTAATAAAAGTGTTTAGATCCATTGTAAGTCTTGTGTCTGTAAATATTTCCCGGTCTTCCTTTCAAAATGCGTTCTGTCGCACTTAGGATACAATAATAAATACGAAAACGTTTACAAAACACCTGCAGATGTGTTTATTTAAACTGTAATTTTGTCATATTGAAGTGTCTTAGGCAAAAGCTCTTGAATTAAAGCATTGAAGCTAGCATGCATAGACCAATGCTTTGCTCCTATAAGTCAAGTATTCAGGCATATATTGTGCCTAATATCAGACTTCACTAATTATGCATTCAGTTCTCAATAGCAAGGAAAAGCAAGACAAAATTTTCCATAATTTTATTCTCATGTTCATGCAAAATGAAACATTTAATTATTAGCTTCACAAATTTTTGTATTTAACTGCTTGGTTTGTTTTTGAGTTATCATCTCGATAGACACATAGTCGAAAATACCCTCGTGCAAATTCAGAGGATGAGAAGCGGATCAATAACATGCTACTAAAGCATAATTAATGGCTATATTTTATTCGTGTTTAATTACATTTAAGGCTGCTCAATACTGGTTTGTTTTTACTGGAATATTTATTTAGATCCGTTCCAGTTGCAGTTGCAAGAATTATTACTTATTGAAAAACAAAAAGTATCTTACTGATGTGAAACAACATCAAAAGAGTTTGAATTTTTTTACAAAAGTTGTGAAACTGCCGTTGCTATGGCAACAAGTACGTTTCAAAATGGCGGATATTTTGGCTTTAAAGTAATTTAAATCGTAAGCGACATCGTTACCCCAAATTTCATTTGACTTTTATTTCATAAAATGATTTTCTGTTAGTAGCTATATTCAATTGTTTGAGAATTTTAAAAAACTCTGTTGAGCCAAAATTTTTCAAATTACGTAAATGTGATTATTCATCATACTTTTTTTTGCTGAACAATTTTTTTTGAAAATTGTGTAAATAATGGAGTATACTACTAAAATAAATTATTTTATACCCAAAATTTCCGCAATCTTGAAACGTCATTGCTGCCAAGGCAACAGCAGTTTTCTAACTTTTGAGGACAAATTCGATTCCTTTAGGTGTTGTTTTACATCAGCAGGATAATTTTTGTTTTTAACAAGCAATAATCGTCAAAAAATACGGATTTTAATCGTGAATTTTCCATTTTTACAAAAACTGTATTGAGCTACCTTAATGCGATCTATTGAAGGTACTAAATGCAACTTTTCACATCATTTGTCATTTGTATTAAATGCTATAACGGTGCATGGGTTGAATTCTAATGATTAGAAGTTACTGTGGGAAGTTCTGCCATGGCCATGTGAAAGTTGTCATCTACACCGACTGAAAGAGTACAGTATTCGTCTTGCTGGCTTACTACATGTGTGAAAAACACTGCATTTAATTGTGCGTGATAACTCAATATCTTTTAATTTTCATCCAGTCCAGTAGTCTGCATGATGGATATTGTTTTTCGAGCAATATGTATTTGTTCGTATGCAAGCAATATAATTAATGCCTATTTTAAGTGAATTTTGCTTTTGGTGCATCTAAAATATGTAGTTTTCTTTTGCCAGAAGCGATTCCAATCATATTACTAGGGCGTAAACGTCGAGATTTAATTCAATTACGATTCAATTACTAATATATATATATATATATATATATATATATATATATATATATATATATATATATATATATATATATATATATATATATATATATATATATATGTTAGTTTTGTAATTGTACACTCTGTTATTATGTTAAGATGAAAATGTTCTAGAGTGTGTATTATATAATTTCCATACCCAGCGCAAGCAAAAAGATATTGTCTGCCGCGGCTGGGTCTCGAACCCGCGAACTTCGAATTACTAGATCGACGCTCTACCTACTGAGCTACACGGTCAGACGGATTTAAGACTGGAAATTATGAAATATATTCTGAATGTCATCAACATACTCGTTTATATTAATTCAGCATCGAACAATACTAGTTCTGCAAGTGTTATGTTAGTTGTGTAATTGTACACTCTGTAATATGTTAAGATGAAAATGTTCTAAAGTGTGTATTATATAATTTCCATACCCAGCGCAAGCAGAAAGATGTTGTCTGCCGCGGCTGGATCTCGAACTCGCGACCTTCGAATTACTAGATCGACGCTCTACCTACTGAGCTACACGGTCAGACGGACTTATTATTTATATATTTCATAAATTCCAGTCTTAAATCCGTCTGACCGTGCAGCTCAGTAGTTAGAGCGTCGATCTAGTAATTCGAAGGTCGCGGGTTCGAGACCCAGCCGCGGCAGACATCTTTCTGCTTGCGCTGGGTATGGAAATTATATAATACACACTCTAGAAAATTTTCATCTTAACTTATCACAGAGTGTACAATTACACAACTAACACAACACTTGCAGAACTAGTATTAATATAAACGAGTATGTTTATGACAGTATATATTACATAATTTCCAGTTTTAAATCCGTCTGACCGTGTAGCTCAGTAGGTAGAGCGTCGATCTACAATCGTGTGCAAAAATGTTTTGGAAAACATTTTCCCCCTCATTCCCTGTCTTCTTTCCCTTCCCCCCATTAGCAATGTTGATTATCTTGACAGCACTACCTTGTGCAACACAAAAATAACAATTTTCAACATTGATTTGGGGGAAGGGGAAGAACAGTTCATATATCACTGAGAAACTCCGAAAAAATGCATTTTCCAAAAATTTTTGCACAGGATTGTCTAGATTTGAAAAGTAAAACAAGTCACCCATAACGATAGTATAATTTGTCCAATTGAAGTAATCTTTTCGTGGATAGAAACAGCTTTAGTAACCGTATGAAATGTGGCTAACAAACTTCGGTGGCGGCCATATTGGATTTTGAGTTATGCGCATGCGCACAATTCTTATAAACAATAAGCGGGAAAATTTGAATATTTTTTTGTATAGAAAGCCAGAAAGCTGGGAAATAAAGGTAAAAGAACCGATTTTGATGTAAAATTATATGATTATATATGTCAAGATAATCAACAGATATGAAAAACTGAAAGTTCTTCAATTTCCCTCGTTTCAATATATATTGTAGACCTATCCAATCCCACACATTTACTGAAGATTCAGCCATCAAACAAAAAATGAAGGAAAGTTAGGGTACTTCAAAAATCGAACCAAAAATGACGCGAAATGTCCAAGAAATCACGCTGTATAAAGCAGTCAACATCATGTGCTGTGCTGAGCGCGAATTATAAGTTTTTGCTCTGCTGTTACAATATATGTCTTTAGAATATATGGAACTTTCTCGTGATATCTTTTCTCCATAAATCGAAACTTATTGACTTGGTTATTTTAGATCAAAGATGGTTGAAATTTCCGGGTTTTCCAAACTAGCCAAAGTACGTCTTGTGAATCGCCTATTTAAATATGGTCCTACTTTTTTTATAAATGTAGATATGCATAATTTGTTAGGAATATGATTTAGTCATTCGACGACGATTTCAGATGTTTGGGATTCTTTTGTGTCTTGGCGAAATTTGATCTTAAACATGTACAATATTAGCGTAATGGGCAATTCTAGCTATAGACTAAATTTTGATTTTGGGCAAGAAAAACAAAATCCATCAGCACAGCTAGAAAGAGCATGATAAAATTAGTAAAATTACAAAGTTTGGTTGCAAAATGTTGGAAAATGAGAAAAATATTGCCCTGCGAAATTTGCAAATTTTGTATTAATTTGTCCGCAATAGACCATTTGCGAAACAGACTAAATTTTGATCTAAACAAGTTTAGACAAAAATTTCATCCCAGCTTGAAAGAGCATCACAAAATTAGTGATATTCCAAAGTTTCTTTGCGAAATGTTGTAAAATGCGGAAAATATAGCTTTGCGAAGTTTGCAATTTTCAGTCATTTTAGATTACAAACGGGAAATTGA